CTATTCAGAGAGGCCTTCTCTGATCTCAGTCTTAAATAAACCCCTTCCAAGGCACTTTCTAAACCTTGAGCTTTATTTTATTTTGTGTTGGTAGAATTTGACAGTATCTCATGTGATTCTAGGTACAAGTAAGTAATTTGTTTACTGTAAACTGTAAACAAGGTACTTGCTTACTGCTCCTCTGAGTCTTTCCATTTGCACAAAACTTGCATGAGGCACTGTCTTCTAACATGGCACCTGGACGGTGGCCCGGAGCATACAGCAGGGGCCTGACAAATACCCATGCACAAGCCTGAGCAGCCAGGTCACAGCTGTCATCCGATGACCTAAGACAACTCTAACGTTCATTTCACTTGGGCAAAGCCTGGAGGGACATTCAAAGCAGGACATCATGGCTGTGAAGTGACCAAGTCCTGTGTCACTGACACTGGCTCACTGGTGATGGTGGTGCTTCTTGGCACTGAAAAATGCTCATCAGTGACACTAAGGGACACTTTTTACCAATATAGGTGCATTTCAGATTTAAGGAATTATGATCCTTGGGTTTATCACCCCTCCTAGCAACCGTCACCCCGTCGGACCCTACACTCAGGTGATTTGCTCTGAACAGGCCCCTCAAGGGAAGTGTAGATTTCACTTCAAAGAACTTCACAGATGCCTGCCGGTTTCAAACAGACTCAAAAAGCATCTCGTGAAACAATTGAATGAATAGCTCCCCACCTAGCCTGTTTAATGAAAAGGATTAAAACAAAAACTTTTCAAAAACTACTTTGAATCAATTAGTTCTAAATACATTTATTGGACTGTTCAAATGTTATCTCTTTTTGATTAGTCGGAGATGCCAGAAATTGTGAACATTCTCTCACTCCTTATTTCAAGTAGAAATTTTTTGCCTCAACAGGAAGAGCTAACGTGTGGCTCTCGGCGTGACAGGGCCTCTGGAGGGTGAGCATGACTGGAAGTGTGGGGTGTGTGTGGGGCAGTGGGGACTTGGAGCATTCTTGTCTCTCTCTATCAGCATTGTTGAGATGTAATTCCCAACGATACAACCCACCCGTTCAGAGTGCTCAGGACATGGTGCTTCAGTGTGTGCACAGGCGTGGGCACCCAGCACAGTCCATTTTAAAACATTCTCATCCCCACAAAAGCAACTCTGTTCCCATTAGCTGTGACTTGCTAATCTCCATCCGCCCCCAGCCCTAAGCAGCCATGAACCTGCCAGGTCCACCTTCTGTGTCTGGATTGGTTCCCTGCTTTCAGTATTTCTGCTCCCGGGCCATGCAACACTTTCCATGACTGGCTGCTTCCGCTTAGCATAAGTATTCCTGGTTCATCCATGTTGAAGCACGCACCACCACCTCGTTCCTGTTTATGGCCAAATAATACTCCCATCACGTAGATATACTACATTCTCTTGATGTGTTTGTCAACTGATGAGCTTTAGGGTGTTTCTACTCTCTGTCTACTGTGATCAATGCTGGTATAAATATTTGTGTATAACTTACGTGTGAACACAAGTTTTCATTTCTCTTGGGTATCTGTCCAGGAGTAGAAATGCAGAATCCCTATATTTAATGGTTTGAAGAACTTCCAGACTGTTTTCTGAGCAGCTACACCATTTATGTTCCCACCAGCGACGTATGATGGTTCCGATCTTCCACATACTTGTCAAAATGCTTGTTATTATCTGACTTTTTGATTCTTGCTGTCAGTACAGATAGAGATGGTATCTCATTGTGGTTTCAGTTTAATTTGATGCCTAAAAATGTGGAGCATCTTCCTGTGTGCATATTGGCCATTTGTATAACTTCTTTGGAGAAATGTCTATTCAGATCCTTTGCCAATTTTTTAATTGGATTGTTAGACTTTTTATCATTGACTTACAAGTGTTCTTTATATATTCTTCATAGGAGTCCTTTATCTGGTTTGTGATTTGCGAATGTTTTCTCCCATTCTGTGGGGCATCTTTTCACTTCCTTGATGGTGTTTTTGCAGCGTGGATTTTAATTTTGATAAAGTCCAATGAATCTCTTTCCTTTATGGTTTGTTCTTGTGCTGTTGCATGTCAGAATCCTTTGCCAGACCCAAAGTCATGAAGATTTACTCCTATGTTTTCTTCTAGAAGTTTTATAGTTATTACATTTAGGTCTTTCATCTATTTTGAGTTAACTTTTGTGCCTGGCACCAGGAGAGCGTTCAGATCCATTATTTTGTGTGTGGCCCATGCAGTTTGTTGAAGACTGTTCTTTCCTAATTGGATAGTCTTGGCACACTTGTTGAAGATCAACTGACCGTCGATGTGCAGGTTTACTTCCAGACTCTCAATTCTATCCCACAGATCTATGTGGCTATTCTTGTGCAGTACAGCATTCTCTTGACTGCTATTGCTCTTTGGTAAGTTTTCAAACCATGAAGTGTGAGTCTTCCCACTTTACTCTTCTTTTTAAAAACTGCTTTGGAAATTTGAATGAGTTTTATAATTTCTACAAAGAAGTAAACTGTGACTCAGATGATGATTGTGTTTTTGTTGAATATTCTCCAGCTCAGAGATTACTTCCTCAGTTGTGTCCAGTCTACCAGCGAGTCCATTAGTGGCATCCCTAGTTTCTGTCTCATTATCTTAGATTATTGTCATTTGGTTTTGATCCTTAGACTCCCATCTCTGTTTACATTGCCCATCTATTCTTGCATGGATTTTAATCATGATAACTTTAAGTTGATGTTCTGATCATTTCACCTTTCCTACCATGTCCGACTTGGTTCTGGTGCTTGCTCTATGTTTCCAAACTGAATTTTTCTTTGCCTTTTAGAATGCTTGATAATTCTGTGTTGAAAGCTCGACGTGATGTCCTGGGCAAAAGGTAGTGCAATGGGCTGGGGTTGGGTATTTCCCTTTCCTTGGGTCAATGAAGCTCTGATAACAGCCCCAGAGGTTAGTTTCTCTGCGGGCAGGCCTTGTCAGTAGTAGAGTGCCTGGGGTTGTTTCAGAATGGCTGCCCCGCCCCCTCCTGCACAAGTGCAAGGGGAGTTCCCTCCTGTTTTCTTGAGCACCTAGTACAGCTTCTAGAGGTAAAATCCATGAAAGTGTGGGCGCCCCCGGGAGTTTTTGTCCCTCAGAGCTGTCCATGCTTAGAGCTGTCCACACTGAGAGCTGTCTACACTGAGTCTCCACCTATTGCTATTTGTACTAAATTACAGGTTACCTCTCCTCCCCGGATACGGGCTCCTGGAGGGTTTCTGCTCCAGGAGGTCATGAATTTCTGTATTTGCCTGTCTCTCTCACTTGGGGGGAAGTGACCTCAGAATTTTTGCCTGTGATCTCAGCGTTTTAATTTTTTTAATTGCTGAAAAAAAATGGGTACAGAAAAGAGTATGTTAAGCATTTAAGCCAAAGAGCTACAGGAACGGATGTGAATCGTGAGCGGGTTATATGCGATCCTTCACCTGAGCTTCCTTCAGAACAGAGGAGTCCATGTCAGAGTCTGTGAAGTTTCCAGAAGGCAGGAAAAAAGATTAGTCCACCATGCTGGCTTCCCTGGTCTTTCTGTCTCGGTCCATTCACCCACGCATTTGTGGACGGCAAGGCTCTGTGCTAAGGGCGATGACTACGATAAGCTGCCTTCCTCTCCTCGTGTACTGATCCTGGACCCCCCCCCCCATGCAAATTGTGACTATAATCACAGTCATTTCCATTCTAACAATAGACTTAACTGACTAGCTGGAGAACTGCACCTGCAAAGGCAAGGACTGCACGCTCACCCGGGTCACCTCCAGTTGGGACGTGTGCAACTCACCCCTGCAGCCTGGATGAGCTTTCTCTCGTTAGAAAGTTATGATCACAAGAAGACACAGGAAGCGATGACAGTTTGGGAAGATCATGGGGAAAAGTCAGGGCAAATGCTCTTTCAGTGAGAGGCGACGGATGGTCTCAGGAAATCAGAAGCCAGAAAATGTCTAAATGGTGTGCGCTGAGGCTGGCCACTAATAGAGGGTTTGACCAGTGGCGTGAGAGATGAAAACTCAAATTGCGTGGAAATGTACATTCTGTACATTCTGTACATTGGAAGGCCAGAGAGGGAAAGCCCTTTCCCGGGAGTAATGAGCCCGCTGTCTGGACAAGCGTCACACTGAGACCTCAGGGAACCGTTGGCGGAGGGGAGACTGAGCGCTAAGCCCGCCTCTCTTTCCTAAGGAGATAAATACACAGTCTGACCACAGTTAGCGAGAAGCTCTTGGTGTTTATCACCTTTTCTGGTTAAATTAAAACTGCTGAGAAGCGTTGGCTTCAGCTATTCTGAATGTTTTCTTCTCATCATAGAACATTGCAACATAGGGAATATGGACCATTTGTTCTTGAAAACAGGATTTTTCAATTATTTTTATATGATATTATTAAATATTATAATACGCTGTACTTTCCGTGTCTGTTACTTAATTTTATAACTGGAAATTTGGACCTTTTAACCCCTTTATCTGTTTCACCTTTCCCCCACCAGTTTGGGCTCTGTGTTTAAGAGGGTTTGTTTGTTCATTTGTTTTGTTTTAGATTCCACATAGAAGTGAAACCATATACTAACTTGCCTTTCTCTGTCTGACTCATTTCACCTAGCATTATACCCTCAAAGTTCGTCCGTGTTGTCCTACATGGCGAGATCCCATTCCTTGTTATGGCCGAGTAATATTCCATTGTGTCTGCACACCACTTCTCCTGTACCCATTCATCTGTGGGTGGCCCTAGGAGTGGCTTCTGTATCTTGGCTCTTGTGAACAATACTGCTGTAAACATAAAGTCACATATATTAATTTTAATTTTTATACATTATACCTATTTGGGGGAAAATTGCAATGATTGAAGCACTCATACAGTACTGGTGGGAGTGCAACCACACTGAAAATTACCATGACCCAGATCTTTCTGGGCCCCCGTGACCTTACCTCCTTAGAGGTCACACACGTTTAGCATTGTGCACCGTTGGTCACGTGTGTATGTCATACCCTAGGTCGATACTCAACGGAAGTGTACTGAAGACACATGCGGCAGTGTCCACAGATCCGTTATTAGAACCCAAAGTGGAAACAATCCCAGCGCCCATCAACCTGAAACTAGGTAAGTCCCTCACTAGATATTCATGTATATGACATGACATGATATGGCATGTGACATGGTTTCACATGACATGATATGACATGGCACGGCACACTGTGACCTGACGTGGCGTGACGTGGTACGGCGTGCCATGTTGTGGTGTGGCGTGATGTGTGGTGAGCTGATGTGACAGGATGTGGACGGATGTGTGGTAATGGAACGCTGTTGCACGGGGGCAGGGGGCAGGGGGCAGAGGAGGGCGGAAGAGTCTCACGGCGTCGAGCCGGAGCACCTAGGCTCTCGGAGGGTGTGTTGTTCTGCACACACAACCACAACCTCCATGAAAGTCAGCACGGTGACCTCCTCGGCAGTGACTGGCAGGGGCGCAGAGGGGCCCGTCGGTGCTGGTCACTTTCAGCTTCGTGACCTGGGTGGTGGTTACATGTGGCATCTGTTTGGGGGTTCGTCATGTGATTCATCACCATAAAGTACATGCTGTGCACACCTTTATCTATATTATGCTTTGGGTTTAGAGAGTTGCTCATAAATGACAGAGAGTCTGGCCAGTGTGGGAACGTCTTTAAGGAGGTGAGGTCCAGGGCTTCAGAAAGATCCAGACCGTGAGGAGCCATCTGAAGAGCTTTGGCTTTGCCTTGAGAGGAGCGGGGGGCATTGGGAGACGGTTGAGCAGAGGAGGTCTGCCTCCTGTATTTGGCCGTGAGCGCCTGGTTGCTGTGGCAGCCGGGCTGGGGTCAGAGGACAGCGATGCAGGAAGGGGTGCACACTGCAGATTCTGAAGTGTGTGCAGAATCCACACAGTTACAGCTACTGGGGCGCGTTCCCACCTCGTCCCTGCAGGGTGGGCTCTGCAGCACCGCACGTTCATGCATGTGATGGGGAGGGTGGCGTCTTGCACGGTCGTAGTTTATGTTCCCGTGCTGTGGGTGAGGCTGGTCTTTTCAGGATTTTGAGCCACTCGCAGACCCTTCTCTAAGCAGCGGCGTTCACGTGCCGTTGCAGTTTTCTCCTGCCTCAGCCTGCATTCTCGCGCGTCTCCGTGTGCCCACTGCGCATCAGACAGAGTATGGACTCCAGCCGCAGATCTTACCTGTGTCATGAGTTTTTGAGTTAAAAGCCCTTTCTCACTCAAAAGTCATCATTAACTATAAGAATAATAAAAGCTTATAATTCTGGGGCACCTGGGTGGCTCAGCCGGTTAGGTGTCTGACACTGGGTTTCTGCTCAGGTCATGATCTCATGGTTTTGTGAGTTAAGGCTCCATGCTGACAGTGTGGAGCCAGCTTTAATGTCTCTCTCCCCCTCTCTCTCTGCCCCCCCCCCACTTGTGCTGTCTATGTCTCTCTCAAAATAAGTAAATAAACTTTAAATTAAAAAAAAACTTAAAATTCACATTTTCTCCCAATATTTTTGTGATTTCTTTCTTTCCTTTTTTTTTTAAGCTTAGATCTTTGTTCCACTTATAATTTATTTTGATATAAAGTATGAGAAAATAATCCATTTTTTCTAAAGTATGAAAGCTGGATAACAGCAGTGTTAAGGGCACATATTGCGGATGTAGATGGTTTGCTTTGAATTCTGTCTCTGCCAGTCACTAGCCCTGTGACTCCGTGCGGTGACTACTCTCTCACGACACCAGTAATCTGTCCACCCAGAGCGGATAACAGGACCAGTCAGGGTGAGCGGCTCAGGCTCGTCACCATTTCAGGGCCACCTGCGGGCGAGCTCCGTGCCAAGCCAACGCCTGTGTGAACTGTGCCTGAATTTTGCCTTCCATCATCAGTGGCTCACACAGCCATGGGTATGAGTTGAGGAGAGGCCACGCCATGGTACTGAGGCATCACGGGAGAGTCCAGGACACTGATCACACAGCTTGTGTCTGATGGGCCCACGTATGCGCGTTCCTGGCACACCACTTCCATCACATGGTGGCTGGTTGCCAGCCTGTTTACCTGGTCCAGTGGCTCCATCAAAATGGAATTCATGGTGGGCGACTCCAGACCCGTGGCCACTGGCGCTCCGTGGTTGGGCGTTCTGTCTCTACTCATAGCGTACCAAGCGTTATTTTTCAGTGGTGGCTGTGGTCAGCTGCACATGAACCAGATTTGCTTCAGAACTCTGGGGGCTTTCATTTGTCATCTCGCTCATGGTGTTGAATTCGCTCATGGTGGTGGCCATAAAGTCCACATGGGGTCTGTTCCCACTACTGAACTCTCTGACAGTGTGCGATCTGCTGGATCGTATGGCCTGAGTCTTGGTGGGACTGTAGCCTGGACCTGCTACAGCGCCATTGCCGGCCTGGGCCCCGCTGCAGTCCTTCTGCATCACCTGCGTGTGGACTGAAGCCGTATTCCCAAGGGTGGAGCTGGAGGCTCCAAAGTCCCAAGAGGATCAGGTGGTGTGCTTCCTCCTGGTGGGACCAGCGTGCCACAACTTGTCCTTCCTTAGATGCCCCAACCGCCGGACCCCTAAAAGTTTCACGGAGGTACATGCTCCTGAACTTAGTAGGGTTCATCTGCCATGCGCTGGAGTGGGGGGCGTCCCAGGAGAGCCTCCCATGGTCTCCCTGCTTCTTGCTGGCCGGGCCAGAGTGATACGGCAGAGAGCTGGTCAGTGTGAGATCAGAGGCTCCAGACCTTTCAGACCACCTCATGACGGAGGGCGGAAGAGATTAGGGAGCTCAGGAAGGAAATGCAGTTATATGCTCTTTCCAGTTTTATGGGAACGAAACTTTCCGATCTTCTTTCCTGGTAGAGGCAGAAAGGGGCACGTCTGTTAAATCGCAGGCCTCATGTGACGCGCCTGCAGTCATGCTTGCTCGCTCTGCCGCTGGCCCAGAGCGTGAATGCAGCCGTACTTGCGTGAGCTTGTGAGGGTCTCTGTCCTGCAGGGGCCAGAGGGTGAATTAAATGGAGACAAGGGTAGTGAGACCCCTGCTATCACCGACTTGAGCTCCTTGAGCGTGGCACTAATCTTTCCCGCTCCCTCTGGGATGAGATGCTGGTTTTATTTCCTATCTCGCCTGGGCCGAGGGTGGGGCACAGTTTCAGAGGCTTCCGTTTGGCGCTCCTCATAGTGTGTCTCTGACCCTCCCTGCCGAAGACCCACTGAGGGGTTTGCACCACCTGCTCAGTAGATCTTTCCAGATGACAGCCTCGTGAATCTGCAGGGCTGATGGGTCTGTTGCCAGCTGGACAGTGGCCTGGATTCCGTTTATGACCTAAGCCGCATGGCCCAGCTCTCCCAGAGGGTAGTAATGGCCCTCAGGTATTACTGCCAGCTCCAAAGCTGTGTCCAGCAAGCCTGGAGGTGTTTGTGTGTTCCCTCGCCTCGTGCACAGTTACTCAAGGAAACGGCATGCCCCCCTTAGTGGGGGCTTGGGGTGTCATCATGCCTTCGGGCCTTGGTGCTTCAGGTGCTTCCTTCTGAGAACATGGCCCCCTCTTCCTCTTCAGTCACTGGGTCTTGGGTCCAAAAACTGGCTCAGGTCTGGAGACTACACAAGGGGGTACTGCTCTCCGTTTCCCACTTTTCTTCCTTGGTTTTGGATAAATCGAGCACAAGCCTGACTGGCTATGTGTTTTGCCCCCAGGGATGCTATGTTCTGTAAACCATCTTCCTAATTCTGAAGGTCAGGTCTCACTGGCTGCCACCCCGACACTGCCTGTCATGATGATAACTGTGTCCACCTGGCTTCCGATCTTGAAGCAGTGCCACCTGGCCCCTCTCTGTGCGGGGGGGGGGGGGGGGGGGGGGGGGTTGTCCTGCCACCCCTGTGGTGAGCGCAAGCCCGGCTCTGCAGTGGCGTCACCCCGCATCGGGCCTGGCTCTCATGGGACAAGCCTACCAACGGCCTTTGCGATGCTGGAGCCTTTCCCTGTACATTCCTTTTTGTTTTGGTAAATAGTGAGCCTTCCATCTGCCGTGATCTGGCCGTGCAGAGTGCGTCCGTCTCAGCATGCCTCCCTCCGTGTCTTTCAGTCCCTCTTTCCACAGTCTGCCGTGCAGTTCTGGCATCTCAGCTCGCTTAGCATGGGCCATTGATTTTTCCGTGATTCCAGGAAACATCCCAGTAGCGATTTCACACCAGCTCTTGAGGCTTTGCCAGGATGCTGAATCCTGTGTCTCAAAACTGCTTCCAAATCAATACACTCTCCCTTAGAAAAGCTTTTGTCCGGGACTCTTGATCAGTCACTCCTCAGAACCCAGTCCTGCAGATTCTCCCCTGGCTCCTGCCAGCGCGTGCTCTCTAGATCCTGGAAGTCCTCATCAGACCCAGGTCACTGCAGCCACAGCATAACCCTCATGATCTAATGGCCAGCAAGGGTGGGGCGCATCTGACCAGGAAGCAGCACTGCATTCTCTTTAAGGAGAGAGTTTTTGTTCTTAACAGGAAGGATTGGGCAATTCTGCGGACAGACCTTCAGGGGGGCCTGAGAATTCACCAGCCCAGATGTCCACCAGCTCTCTGTCAGCGTGCTGTTCTTTCCTACCCAGAATCCTGCACTCCTTGGTTGGGAGCTTCACCTTGATTTTCTTTTGGATTTGGCTGCCCTAAGTGCGGTGCCTCTGTGGTGTCCCAGATAATACCCCTGCCCCTTCCAAAGAGCCCCATGTCCCAATCTCAGAAACTTGAACATGTTAGGCTCCATGATGAAAGAAAATTAGGGCTGCAGATGGAATTCAGGTTGCCAGTCAGCTGACTTAAAAATAGGGAGGTTGTCTAGATTTTCTCGGTGGTAATCCCTCCCTGTCCTACCCTGCCCCTGTGGCATTGACCTTGGCCAGCGCTGCCTTGTGCAGCCTCAGAGGTAATGGCCAGGAGGAACTGGCCTGGAAAGGACATCCACTGACAATATTTATAGCAGGGACACATGTCTGTGCCCATCAAACTGAGAAGGGCTGAACTGTTCACAGTTTCCCTTACTGAGACCTGAGGGATTGCCCATCAATTTTTATTTAATATTTTTGCTTATGGACATTGAGGATATACAATATCTCTCAGTGAGATTATACAAAAGTCTTTTTATTGACCTCATCTGCAAAAAGCACACACCTGAATAGAATGGAAGAATATCTTCCAAATACTCAGGAAAAAATCACTGTCTACTTAGAATTCTGTGTCTTTCATGTAAATGCTGACAGAAAAATCTTTGTAAGAACATGCTCTGATGGGAAGGAGATTTCAAACCTGTGAGGAAGGAGTCACAAGGAGTAATGAACAAATACATCACTAAATAATGAATGGCCCTAAAAGAGAAGACAAACACTTGGAAGTCTGGAAACACTGTGAAAGTCCTGAAGTAATAACACAGATGAGACGTGTAAACAGGATTAGATTCAAATCGTTTAAAGGTACTTTTGTTCCTTACTAATAAGAGAGAAATGTTTATTACATTTTGACGCTCCTAAGTATGTAATTAATATTTAATGGCAATAACTAAGAAGTATAGAAATAGAATGTTTAACAAGCTAGTGAGGTAAAAACAAGTTGGTAAAAATATGTCAAAATAAATCAATGATCACTGTAAATGTAGATATTTTAAAGTTTTCTGTTAACCAGGGAAACCAGCATAAATTTTTAAAATAATATTTGCTACATTCGTGTTATAGGAGACACATAAAACATGACAGAAATGTTACAAGAGATGGATAAAGATATGCCATGCCAACATAAACAAGAAAAAACAATAGTAATGTTAATAACAGAAAACAATCAAAGAGACAAAGCCAAAGATCTCTCTCAGGTGTGAGGTAGTCATAAAAAGTCACAAAAACTTAGTTTTGTATGTTCCTAACAATGTAATATCAAAAATGCAAAGTAAAAATTGGCACAATTCTAGAAATAATTGCAAAAAGGAACTACCTTACTTAAATGTTTTTATCACACTGTTCTTAGAAATGAATAGATGTAGCAAACTGGAAAACAAAAACATTGTATACAAACTTGACAAGCTTGATATGATATCAGTCTAATGTATATCTGCCCAACAATGCAAGAACACACATTTTTAAAGCATACATGGAAATTTCATTTAAAACAAAAAACATTTCATCACAATGGAAGTTTCACTATACCCTCTCAAAAAAAATGATTGTTCATGAGAGACGGGCACCCTCCTACACGGTTGGTGGGAATGTAAACTGGTGCAGCCCCTCTGGAAAACAGTGTGGAGATTCCTCAAGAAATGAACACTAGAACTCCCCTATGACCCAGCAATAGCACTGCTAGGAATTTACCCAAGGGATACAGGAGTGCTGATGCACAGGGGCACATGGACCCCAATGTCCATAGCAGCACTCTCAACAATAGCCAAAACATGGAAAGAGCCTAAGTGCCCATCAGCGGACGAGTGGATCAAGAAGATGTGGTTTATCTACACGATGGAATACTCCATGGCATGAGAAAGAATGAAATCTGGCCTGTGTAGCAACATGGATGGGCCTTGAGGGTGTTATGCTGAGCGAAATAAGTCAGGCAGAGAAGGACAGTTTCACATGAGTGGAAACAGGAGAAACTTAACAGAGGACCATGGGGGAGGGGAAGGCGAAAAATAGTTAAGGACAGGGAGGGAGGAAAACCATAAGAGACTTAAATATTGAGAACAAACTGAAGGTTGATGGGGGCGGGGGAGAGGGAAAATGGCTGATGGGTGTGGAGGAGGGCACTTCATGGGATGAGCACTGGGTGCTGTATGGAAACCAGCTTGACAATAAACTCTAAAAAATGATTGTTCAGACTATATACTTGA